TTTGGGACAGGCGCTACAAAGGGGCTCCCTGGGATTATAAATCACCACTTTTCTGAACAGTCTGGATTATAAATCACCACTTTTCTGAACAGTCGATACATATTGAGACACGGAAAGACAGGCTTGAAGTGAAAATCACTGCTCTCTTGAACAAGAGGGAGCACAGCTCCAGAGGAGCCCTCCTCTGCTCTCTCGGAGGGAGAAATTTCACACAGATCGGCACGACCAGAGCGTTTTCTGTACATGTGATGTGCTTCCCCGGGGTGTTCGGCCAACAGAAAAACTTCTGTATGCTATAAATTCATCTCAGCAAAAGGCCATTTCCCCTCTCTTAAAGAGAAACAAATCCCACTTTCTGTCCTGTGAGTGCTCTCAGACATGAATGGCTTGATTGCCAAAAAAAAAAAGCATCTGTTTCTTCTTCTTCTCCTTCCAGCGATATTGTTTGATCCAAGGCAGGGAGGGGGAGAAAAAAAAAAATCCCTCTCCATAGAAACCTCACCTTCTCTGAGATCTGCATTTCAGCTTGGGGTCATGTGCTCCACTTACAGTCAAACTCCACCACGGTGTAAGCTGAGACTCAGCGCAGTTCATACTACGGATAACTTTGGCTCAGTGGTTTTTTCTTTCCTTCTTTTTTTTTTTTTAGTTCTGTACTTGCAAACAACGATTAGCCTGTCTCCACACTGTATTACTTACGAAGCCCAGATTAGAATGAAGCCTGCAAAGTTTCTGTAACAAGCTAGCGGTGTTGAGCACTACAGCACCGACAGATAATTAAAATACCAGTGAGTTCAACAGCGCTTCTGCTTCCATTCAGATTTTTTTTTTCTTCCAGGGGACTCTTTATTAAAAGTGAATATAAATATATCATAAACATACACACAAAAGCTAAATCTGTGCCTCGGCGCCTCAGCTGGCAGACAAGACTTCACACTAGTGGAACTTCTTCAAGTGCTTCTAAGTGCAGGTTAACTCGTCACCTTGTGAAAAGATTGCGCCCCGCCGCTCGAAAGAAAACCAGGCTCCACTTTTGAGCAACGAACATTTTCCTCTAGCATCACGCACACCTACAACCTTTCCCCTATGCTAGGTAATAATTACCGGTTTTTACAAGGATCATTTACTAGAGAGCAATGTCCTATGTGCCAGCCTCATACCAATGTGTACAAACACAATGACAAATCTAAAAACCACGCACACCAAAACTTTTCCTATTAAGCCAAATATGCAAAAAGGGACTTTAGTCACCAGCTCGAATAATTCCTGCCAGAAATCATCGCCACCTGACTCTCTTATTTTAAGATTCACGTGCAAGGAGCTCGCTGAATCTCAAGCTCCGTCCTGAAAACAGCTGTCTGCACTCAAACCCAACAACCAGGCTCCGGCTTGACACGTCGGTACGGAGATTACAACCCTCGCCTTTCTCAAATTCAACAGGCTGTCCGCAACCAAGGGGGAAATCTGGCCCTGAACGCCGCCGATAACTTCAGTGGCTCTTGATAGCAATTCAGTACCTGGCACTGATAGGAGTGTTGGCTTAGGAGTCATTACTCAAGCCCAGACCCAAAGTTTTAACTTTGGATACCCAGCCTGCTGGTTATACCCTACAGAAAATACACGTTTTAAGAATCAGAGGCGATTTACTCTCCTTTAAGAGATCTGGTTTATGTTACGTCTTCCCTAGCATCTGGTTTCCCTTCGCACAAGAGATTGCTAAATTTGGCTGTGTTAAAGCCAGGATTTCAAGAGGCTGGCGACTCAGACCGGAGCCCTCAAGCCCCAGAGCTGTCTGGAGCCGCCTTTTTTTCTTTTCCACCTCATCTCAGTGTTAATCCCGGCAATAAAACCCTGCCTAGGGCAGCCGGTCCCTACCTGGCTGCTGAACTTTTGCCTTCTGTCGCAGCAGGAGGCATGCGAGCATCTACCAGGAATGCAATTATTCTCATCTACATAACAACAGATGATAAAAATAACAATACTTCGAAAAAATAAAATAATCCTCAATACCCCAACCAACCCCCATGTGTGGTGGGTTTTTTTTTGGTTTATGCAGCAACCGAAGACCCTTATTAGGAAAACCCCGTCAGTGTAAAGAGCGCACAGGGCAACGGGCGGTTTTGTAATCACAACCCGGCTGGGAGGAGCGGGCTCAGGTGAGGCACCGAGCTCGGCTTCGGCTCCCTGGTCCCACTCGCCCAGGGGCTATGAACTTGTCTGGGGGTTTTTTGTGGATTTTTCTTTTTTTTTCTTTTTTTTTTT